GTAACGTGCGGCGAAGAGCAAGTGGACACCATGGGCGATTACACAGTGAGATGTGGTGGGAGCAGAGGGAAGCGGTCAAGCCAGAGAGGAGCAGGAGCAGCAGTGGGAAGAAGGTGATAAGCAGCATCAGAGGAAGGGGGATGAAGAAGCAGCAGGGGAGGGAGAGGGAAAGAAGGGGAGGGGAAGTGGGAGCAGCAGGGCGAGGGAGAAATAAGCAGCAAAAGCAGGGGACGGGGAGACAAGCGGCAGCAGTGGGGGAAGGAAGTCAGCCATGCACTGACGGCACGATAGCAGAGAAATGAGATCACATAAGAAGTCAAATGGAAGTAGCAGGAGTGAAACAATTCAGAGGGCGAACCAAATGACAGTCAGGTGTGAATTAATCATTGTAAGGGGAAGGGGGGTGGAGAGGTAGGAGACAAGGGCACTGAAATAAGTCCCACTCCTCCTTCCCCTCCGGACAGAAACAGATGGGGAAGCAGGGGTGAGCCAGGCTGCGGAAGAGCGGCCTCAAACGAGCGAGCGAGCACAGGCAAGCGAGCGAGCGCAAATGAACGAGCGAGCGAGCACGAACGAGCGAGCGCGCACGAACAAGAGAGCGAGAACGAACGAGCGAGCACGCGCGCACGAGCGAGCGAGCGAGAACGAACGAGCGAGCGCGCGAGCACAAACGAGCGAGCAAGAACGAACGAACGAAGGGCGGACTGGACAGACGAAGGCAGGGAGGGCACAACTAAAGTGGGCGAGATAACAGCTGGGTGGTGGATGGGGATGAAGAAGTTGCATTTTGAGTGTGGAGAGTGGAGGATGAAAAAATGCACGCAGAGAGGGAAGCAGCAGCAAGGGAAGTATGCAGATGGAAAGGAGAGACATGCTGAAGGGCAGAAATGAGCGGAGAGAAGCCATGAGGGCTGAGTTGAGACCGACCTCGTGAGGCGAGTAACTGGCGAACGAAGAAATGGATGGAGTGGATTGCGAGGGAGGGTCTGGCAAATCAGAAGATATGCAAGCTGGGGATGGAAGCAGCAGCAATGAAAGGACACAGAGGGAATGGCAAGACATGCTGAAGGGCAAGAGAATGAAAAAGGAAGAATCCATGAGGACAGGCAGAGATATCGATCACTCGACATAAGATGGAAGGGGTGGATCACGTGGATTGCAGCAAGCACATCGGAAATATAAACTAGTGGCAGGAGGAACGGATAGGATGAGTACAGGATGGGATGAGTGGATAGAGGTCTGCTGCGCGGTAGAGAAGCAGCTGTGCGGTAGGAGGAATGAAAGAACGCCAGGGGCTGCTCTGCTCACCTCACGGGATGATTGCAGAGCGAATAGCTCACTGGCGGAGTGACTGAAGCGCAACGCACGGGGTATGGTGGCAGCAGGGAAGGGGCAGCTGAGAAGGCGTACTACTGTGAGTGTGGCTGATAACTTGTGTGGGTGGAATCACGCACAAGGCACGGGGATGAGAAGGAGGAGGAACGGGAGAGGGAAGAGAGGAGGCAGTGAAATTTACGACAGGAAAGAAGATGGCATGGCAAGAAGCTTGCGGGTTGCAAGATTTTTGTTAATTGATGATCACAGCAATTGGACGGAGTGAATGGCTGTCCAAGACAGAGGAAGTCAGGGAAGAAACAAGCGCGAAGGTGGTGACAGAAGTAGCAGCAGCAGGCGAAAGAGGAGCACATGGGAAGAGAAGAAAACGGCAAGAGGAAAGCTTAACTGAAACGGCAAACGTGAGGCGCCGTTACGAGGCTGGGGTGGAACGGGAGGGGCACACCACATACAAGTGAGGCAGAGAGCACAGAGGGGAAGAGAGGCAGAGGTGGGGCGGCAGAACATGGCGCATGTGTACCTGGTGTGTGGGGAGGTGACAGGTGACCAACAGACACGTTGTTGTGGCAGGGGGCGAATGACCGCAGAGGAAGAGAGGCAGATGGCAGCAGTGGGAACTAGGAAGAGATGGCAATAGGCGTTTCTCAACGGACGAAGTTGACAAGGCTCCGCAGCCAGGGGAGAGAACAGTTATGAGATGGATCAACACCACACAAGGAAACAGAGGGAAGTGGAAAAACAATTTGATGTTTGCTTTACTTCACAGGGCAGTGTGAGGGAAGTGCAGGGAGAGGAGAGGATGAAAGTGGGAGGTTAAGGAGGGAGGCATGCTACTAATGGAGCGCGGCACGCGCTGCCACAACACCCATCATTCAATCGCGGCGCCACGCCTGCCACCTGTTTCTCGCCTCGCACGCCCATGGGCGCGTTTTCCCGGATAGTTACCAATTCATCGTACCTGCTGGGTTGTTCGCCTTTCAGTCGCCATAGGGCGAGGGTGACATGACGCCGCCATCGACATGACATGCCGCTGTTCCACCATCCAAAACTCTCATCTGGTCTTCAACAATTTTTTATCCAGTAACACCGCATTGGCATGCGGTTCATGCGAGCTGTCATCGTTGGAAAGCACGGGAGAATTGGAGACATGATATTCCTCGCGCAGCTCGCATGGAGCGTTACGTGCTGTCATTCATTCACTACTACCCTCGATATGATCGTCGTATCCAATGCAGTGGATAAATCGACCCCGCGCGAAGGAGGTCATTTCGTAAACGCCTGATGACCATGAGGAACAAGGCTGAGGATGTAACGCCTGCGGGCAGTGTTAGTAGGCATGCTGCGCCAACTAACACCCTCGTTTTGACCAAGTGGGTAGCAAGGTGTTCTACAGGTTTCAGAGTCCCGGCTGGTCCACATTTTCCGCCTATGGCGAGATCTGAAATGTGGTAACCAGCTCGAACCCTGTGAACAATCCTAGACCGAGGTCCCTGCGAGGGCCGACTCCCTGAACTCCGAGGCCAACGGGGACGTTGGTACCAGGGGGGGACGAGTGTAACTCCTGCGGGTAGTATTAATGGGCATTCCGCTGCGCCAACTAACACCCTCGTTTTGACCCAGTGGGTAGCGAGGTGTTATAGAGGAGATTCTGCCACTATTTCGATGTAGTCACATCATCTCCAAGGCTTTGCGTCACTGACATTTGGACATTCCGCATGCGTTGCAATAATCCTCACGTACACATCCGTTTTCCAGAACGGTTCACATTACACTTTTGGTAACAGAGTGTTACAACGACGACCCGTTGAACCGCCTATGTTGAAATGTTATTGACTCCGAGATTTTGTTTTCTGCCATTCAACTTCGAGCCCTGTCAAGTGTTCAGGCTCACCCTTCTGAACCGCTACCTCAACAAACCTTCTGCGTCCTGTTCGAACGAACACGAACTCTCGTTTGTGCCGAATTCATAAAACTGCTTTTGAGTCCGCCCTCAGCCCTTCTAGATTCCACCACACAGAATTTGCTAGCTATCATCCCTACCGCCAGAGCGAGATTCGCGCAGCAACTCATTAGGTCCGTTTCTTTTAGTTATTCGTTGCGAGTCGAACCCACAATTACATGCGCCACCAGAGATCGGTTGACCAGATGGTGTTGCCATTCGCACAGCCTCGATGTCGCCACTCGAAAGTGGTGACACGCGTTACTATTAGGGTTTCGTGCTTAGATTGCATCGCGAAAACGAGCCCTTTGTTCGGCTTTGCACGAATTCCTACTGTAAATTGCACGGGGAGGAGCGTGATGGGGAGACACGCTTGTCCCTCACGCGAATTTCATGGGCTACTACCGCAATTCCAGTAATGGATCCCGCCGGCGCATTCGCCATGGGCGGACACACGGCTGTGTCGTGGCAGCACGTGAAATGAATGCGTGTTACCCAACCTCTTGGCTGATAGCTTCCGAGAGGACGGCGGGAGGGCATTGGGGTGAGAATACGAGCAGCATGTGACATCGTTTCCTCGTCCCCTCCCTTCTTCCGTCGATTGATGCTCTGCCTCCCTCCTTTACCGCATGCATCTAGTATGTCGCAGTATCCCGCGTCTGCTTGCCAATGAGGCTGAAGGAAAGTGAGCACAGCCTTCTCGTGTGCAATGCCAACCTTTGCTGTCTGCCTTTTCTCTAGGTGTTCTTAATCCGAGTCAAACGTGCACTGTAGTCACTGAGAGGTGTAGATTTTGTGACAAATAGGAGGATGGTGTCGCAGCCGCAGTCGACATTCAACTCCACCGCCCAGGATGAGCGCAAAGCTGGCAAGACGACGAGGTAACTATTATATTACTACTGCGACATGTAGAGGCTCTTGTTCTGCGTTGCGAAAAAACTACCGTCATGAATGTAATGGTGAAGCATCTCGTCATGTATGACTCTTGTCGCCGCCACAGTACCCAAGAGTGGATACATCGCTGCGCCATAGTGGAAGTAACAGCATCAAGAGAGGGAGCAGCAGGAGCAGCATCCCGGCGTTAGTCGGAGCGAATGCCAGGCCAACGCCGGCCAGGTCCATGGAGGCGGAAGCCGGCACACAGCAGCGCATATCAAGTTTCCATGTAACGAAGCACATGGTTGTGGTGGTGCTGATGGAGTGGTGAGGTGGGTGAGCACCGCAGTGGGCAGGCTGCAAGTGGCCCTGTTGGAATTGTGAGAATAATAGGAATGAATGAGAAAGGATGATTGCACTAGCAAGCAGTTGGATACATATAACAAACCCTAACAGGGTTGTACTCACTACAGTGTACCCCACTGCAGACTAGAGAAACATAATGTTCTGACAGGAATATGCACTGTTCAAAGGCCTTTTTTGGAAGATTCAAGGTGATATTTGTTTCCCAGCCTCTAAATAAGAGATGCTGCATGATTTTGCGGTGTTCATTTCCAGTGCATCTATGAGAGATTGAAGATTATCTTGTCTGCACCCTCCACAGCCCCATACCCACTTGTCCCTTCTCTCCCAACCCCAACCGTCTTCCCTTCACCCCCTCAACCTGCGCATCTTTCTCCCAGACCCGTTCGCCTCACTCTGAGCTGCTTCTCCCTCTGTCTCGCCTTGCTTCATCCCTCCCACAAGCACCCCCTATGACCACTCACCATCTCCCTGACACCTGCACCCGATGTTGGTGTTATGCACCGTGAGATGCAGCATGAGCCACCAGCTCCTGCACTGCACTGCACCCCCGGTCACCCCCGGGTACTTTCCCGCTCCTTCGGTACCTACCCTCCATGTAGGCCCTCCAGCACGTTATGGCTCTCAGATGTGCCTCTCTGGTGCTCGCCCCCAAGATTCAGCCGGACGGGAAGAGATGTGGGCGGGATGGGTGTCGGAAGGGCAGGAGGTGGCGAAGAGGGGCGAGGTGGTGGCGTGTTGGACTTGCAGAGAGTGAAACGGGGAGCTGGGGACCTGCATGCATATGGGGTACGCTCACATGTACTGTGATACATGCATCCACACTTACAGTAGCGATAAGTCTTATGTTCTCCAGGTGGCCGTGACTTAGCCTCCACAGATGAGTACTACTACCAGGTTGGTACTGTGTTCTTTGATTGATATGTGCATGGAGTAGCATGTCCCATTTGTTGACTATAGAGAAGCGAATTCCTCTGTTGCCTTGTGTTCTTATCCCTCTTCCCCCCCCTCCTCCCTCCCGTCCTTTTTCTGTTTCCCGCTCTTTCCCATGCCTGCCTCCATTGTTGTCCTTGATGTCTTACCTGTTCCCCTCCCCCACATCCCTCCCATGACCCGTCCTTCTCACTCACACTCAGCTAATGTGTATCGGTGCATCGTGTGCTCATGCATGCCTCCCTTGCAGCCCTGCTTTCATATCCTCTCCTCCCCCTTCCCTCCTCCACAACCCCCCCCCCCCCCCCTCCCCCTTTCCCCCACTCCGCGTCCTTCCTTCCCACCCTCTCCCCTTTTAAAACAGCTCGTGTGCATTGGCCCTGATAGTGTTTTCGTGGGCATGTGCCACAGCCTTATGGAGACGCCGAGGCAGGAAGAGCAGGTGAGGCCAGCCAAGATGGTAGCAGAGGCAGCAAGCAATGTCAAGAGCATGGCGAGGATGAGCCATGAGACCCGCACCCTCACGAATGGTGAACGGGGTGGGTGGATGGGTGGGTGCTATGGTGCGCGTGAATGGTGTGAAATGTCCATGGAGTGTCCATGCATCTAGTGTGCATGCTGTCTTCCCTTTTCCTCCTTTCACCCGAATCAGCTCCGACCTGTCCAGGTTTGAAAGCCAGTGACCTTCTGCCTTGCCACGTGCATCAAGCAGGCCACGGTCACTCGCTACGTTTCTGGAGCAGAGAGGGCCTTCAGGTGAATGTGAGAGAGGGGTTGATGGGCATGGGGTCAAGGGGCGGTGTTGAGCGGCAGCGTTCGCGAGATGGGATGTGCTGCATTTGCTGTTGGTAATCGTGAGTCAATCGTTGCAACCGAGAATATGCGGGTGTTCATGTGGATGTGAAGGAGCATTGATGGGCAGCGTTGGCCTTCCCTACCAGCTGTCTTCACTCCCCTCTTCTCACCCGTATTTTTCATGTCTCAACTCCCCTCATCCCCTTCCCCTCCCTCTTCCCCCCTCCCACCAGCCGGACAGCCGCATCGACTCGGACATGCCACACTTCTTCTGACCTTCTCTCCACTCCCCATCCCTCACCCTTTGCCTCCTCTCTCTTCCCCCCCCACTCTTCCACCTTTCCCCTCTTCCCTCCCTCTCCCTCTCCTCCCTTCTCATAACGGTTCAGCAACTGTATCGACTCGCACGTGCCTCACATCATTGGGGGCAGTGCGAGGAGTTTTTCGCTCTTAGTACAAGGCCAACTGGACCCTCTTCTTACCAACTGGACCGCTGCAGCGTGCATCGACTCGCACTTGCCTTGTCTGCAGGGAGAGTGCTGCAGGTCGTTTTGCATCTCAAACCCGAGTGGAACTCTGAGTGCAGCAGGGTTTAGGGTGTGAGAAACCCCTTATTCGATGACACCTGAATCTCAACAGAGTGGAGTGGGGCTGCAGTAAGGAGGTAGCAGTTGTGGCAGCTTCTATCTATTGCTGTTGAGATTCAGGTGTCATCCAGTACATAAGCCATGCATTCTGAAGCAGATCAATGCACTGGGGAGAGCTGTGGAGAGACACGGCAACATCAGAGGAGAGCGAGCTGTTTGCAAACGCGTAGTGAGGGACTGATTCACCTCAATCGGGAATTTTCATCTCCTACTTGCCTCCTGCATGCCAGTGAATGGGCTACATAAGTGGCCGACGAAGCAGCATGAGCACTTCCATTTCCTGTGCAGACACAGACCAACTTGTGCTTGACCATAGCTCATGCATCATCCCATCACCCAGCCCAACCAGCACCTAGACGCCGCCTAGGTACTTCTTTTATACAAATCAGTACAGTTATCTGTGGCTGGCTGGCACACGGTGGCTCGTTGGTCACAGTATTGATCAATACAATGGGATGGGACATCTCATGTAGTTGACAACAGAATCAATGGGGCATATACCGTATCACCCCGGATAGTAGCGCATATGCGCTTATAATAAAATTGATTTTTTCAAGGGGGGCGCTTATAATTGAGTTTCGGGCATAAGCGCACGCGCTTATATAATGACAAATACAAATTTATACTTTGAGGGTACCAAACTGTACCTTTCATTGATGCCATTTCAAACGAGTCGAAATAATATAGCGTCACAAAGCAGAATCGCGCGCAAGCGATTCTGCTTCCTGCACACCAGCAAGTTCAACTTACTTTGCAGGCATGCCAGCACATCCTGATTGGACGCGCAGCCAGTCAGGTCTTCGCGAGTCAAACGAAGCGAAGATGAAATTTGGCTCGCTGCGAAAATGAAACTCGTTACCGTTTTAAACAGATTTATAATTTCAAAATGTACGTGCGCTTATAATAAGTAAAGGTTTTCCAGGGGGGGCGCTTATAATAGAGTTTCGGCCATAAGCGCCATGCTCCAGATAGAAGCGCCGGCGCCTTTAATCGGACGGCGCCTATAGCCGGGGCCATACGGTATAAGTTTACAAGTCACAGAGGCATTGTCTCCCGCATGCAACATGATCAGTGCACAGCACAAATACAACTACCGTACCGTATCACAGTACCGTATCACCCCAGATAGTAGCGCATATGCGCTTATAATAAAACCGATTTTTTTAGGGGGGGCGCTTGTAATTGAGTGTAGGGCCAGCAGCTAAAATAGTGACCCCCCCCCCCCTTCTAGTTGGGTCCACTAGAAAGCTCATGAAAAGTTCCAAAAAGTTTGGTGTTTTCTTTTCCGAACAGGGCAAGTCCCCAAATCTGCATCGAGCACAACACATCACCAATTTCACAACGGCGGCATACACACAATGTTGAGCTAACGAATAACAGAGTGATGCACTAGAGTAGCATACAGAAGAACGACGAGGTGACTCGAGAGGAGAGAGAGAGGGGCCGACGGGAATTGGAACGGGAACGGAGGGGGTATCGCGAGGGAAATTTACCGTACAAGGGGGGAGATCACGGGCGACGGCAAAGGGAGGAGGAGATCGCGTAGGCGACTGGAAATGGGGGATCGCTACGAGATTGCGTGGGAGATAGCGAGCGCGACGGGGTGAAGGGGGGAAGATAGCGACGGCGCGAAACGTGATCGGAGATAGCGACGGCGCGAGACGTGCTTGCTGGCTTGGATTATGGCGCGAGACGTGATCGGAGGGGAGGCCGTGAGCGCGAAGGCGATGCGAAGACAGGTGCACGTGAGCACGATGGCGACGGGAGGGAGGAACTTGAGCGCGATGCCGATGGGAGGGGAGGACGTGAGCGATAGGAGATGAACTGGGGAAGGAGAAAGGCGACGGGAGGGAGAGCGCGAAGGCGACGAGAGGGAGAGCGCGAAGGCGACGGGAGGGAGAGCGCGAAGGTGACGGGAGCGAGAGCGGACAGGCGACGGGAGGGAGAGCGGACAGGCGACGGGAGGGAGAGCGGACAGGCGACGGGACCGTGAACGGACAGGCGACGGGAGGGAGAGTGCGAAGGCGACGGGAGGGAGAGCACAAAGGCGACGGGAGGGAGAGCGGACAGGCGACGGGAGGGAGAGCGGACAGGCGACGGGAGGGAGAGCGGACAGGCAACGGGAGGGAGAGCGAGAAGGCGACGGGAGGGAGGGCGGACAGGCGTCGGGAGGGAGAGCGGACAGGCGACGGGAGGGAGAGCGGACAGGCGACGGGACCGTGAGCGGACAGGCGACGGGAGGGAGAGTCTGAAGGTGACGGGAGGGAGAGCGCGAAGGCGACGGGAGGGAGAGCGGACAGGCGACGGGAGGGAGAGCGCGAAGGCGACGGGAGGGAGAGCGGACAGGCGACGGGAGGGAGAGCGGACAGGCGACGGGAGGGAGAGCGCGAAGGCGACGGGAGGGAGGGCGGACAGGCGACGGGAGGGAGAGCGCGAAGGCGACGGGAGGGAGAGCGTGAAGGCGAGAGAAAGAGAGGGCGACGGGAGGGGAGGGGGGAGAGCGAGGGCGACGGGAGGGAGGGGAGAAAGAGAGGGCGACAGGGGAAAAGGAGAGAGAGGCGCGAAGTTGACGGGAGGGGAGCGGACAGGCGACTGGAGGGAGGACAGAGGACGAACGACTGGAGGGTAGGGGAGATGGTGAAGGCGCGAGAGAGGAAACTAACACCGCGCTTCTAGGCCACGTGTTACTACATCACGTCGATAATACCGAGCCTATGACAGAAACCCTTATGCTCTCAGCTCTTGTTCTTAGTAAGCTAGTTGTGAACCCAGGGCCGGCTCGAAATTGGAGTTGGGCCTCGTGATGGAAAACCATCACCAGGGAACAGTCGTGCAGATCCAACATGCAAAATGCGATGGCTGAAAGTTCATTTTGGCGGGAACCACATCATTCCATTTTGGCGAGAGCCAATCACACAAGTTCACTCTGCCCAAACGATTCATTTGAAACAGTGTTTGTCAGACTGGTTTCATAACGTTTTTTTCAAGAGGGACGGGGTTCACTATTTTAGCTGCTGGTGATATACAACTGTTCAGAGCGGTGAATCGCGGTTACAGAAGGTGAAGCAAAACAGCCGCTCTCAGGCAGCAGATAGAGAAATGATGTTCTCATCGAGCTCGCCGCCATGGCGGTTTACCGCTTGCCTGGAACTCACATTGCGTGAAGTCGGATCATCAGCTGGCTTTAATTCTACCGGCATTGTCTTCACTACACCTTTACGAAGAAGTTTATACCTATTTTGTGTTCATCATATGAACATTGTGTGGACTTCTCAAGGGTGTTTTACGCTGGTCCAACTATCAAAGCTCAAGGCTAACGCGTGTTTCCCTAGGTCACGGCAATGCATCAAGGAACCACCTAAACTACCATTCATTGGTTACGCAGATGCTGTGCAACGGGATGATCCTGAAGTTTTATCTTCAACGTCACAACATCTATGTCAGGAAAAATGGTCTTCCACAGGCGTTCTTCACGTACTTAACTCTGTGGTGCTCAGACAACCGGCTCATCAGGTTCCTCAGCTCATTTCTTCAGAGCTTTTGCCAGTCTATTGTCATCATTGCACGATGCCTCCGAAAGGCTCTCGCGCTAAGGCGGTGGTTGACGCTCCTGCTGGTGGTGGTGATCCTGCAAGCAAGTCGACACCAGGCAAGGGAACGGAGGTTGTTGATAATCTTCCGGCTGAAGCGGAGGTGACGGCAGGTGTTTCTGGTCTCACCATTGAAGAAAAGCTGCATGCGCTGGCGGCTACGGTTGTTTCGGATGACACGTTTCTTGAGGATGATTCAGACGAGGAACTTGAGATTGACACGACCAAGAGTACTCACCCGCATTTGCGCTTCACGGCGATTTTGCTATTTCCGGTTATACCTTCTCGCGAGGTTGCTTCGGTGATTCTGACCGTGAGGATGCTGATGAAGCGTGTCTGGTCTAACCTGCTCACTGATGACGTCCTCGCCTCGGTGAAGTTCCAGGAGCTGACCCCCGCGTGGGTCGCGAAGGCCCGCTATAGCCGGCTTCAGGTCTCCTTCCTGCATGAGTCTGACGCGGTGAAAATCAAGCAAACGGCGGTGGAACACAAGCGTCAGAATGGATTGACACTTCACTGTTTCTGGCTGCACCAGGAGGACGCCGCTTACCTTCGCACGAAGGCTTCGGGCCCGCAGCTGCTGGAGGTCTACTTTAAGGACGTTCCCGCGGATATCCCGCCGAGGTCATGGTCACTCACCCGCTCAGGATGCGGAAGCAGTCTGCTTTTGCTGAAGGCCACTGCTTCCACCGTGCCCTTCACCCCGTCACCGGCGCTGACACTGATCGGATCAAGGGGCTGGTGGTTCAGCACGCTGGCGACAAGCATCGCTGGCGTCATGAATTTCGCCATCAGCTGCTGGGAGGGACGGCACTGTTGGCCCACTACCCGTTGCTATCCTGTCCGCTCTGTGGTGGCCACCATTATGACAAGTTTCATAATGTTTTCATCACGGAGCGTCAGAATAACATAGGGAAGTGGAGTTTAACTGTGGGTCGGGTCCATAGGATCAATGGTAACCGCTGCTTACGTTTGTTCGGTCATTGCTTTACCTTCCGTATCTTGTCAGTCACTGATGCGCCGCTTTTCCCTTGCAGCTGCTTCTCTCCGCACTTCTCCGCTTATCACTCCGTTACTGCTGGATGCAGCTTTCGTGCTGATCTCCACTGGGAGCAATCGGGAGGAATGGCTGTGTACTCTCGAGAGCTGCGGAAAGACCCATGGCAAGTCCTTCATGGCTGCAGCGGATCACATCACGTCGGCAAGCCATCTGCTGGGATTGGAGAAGTTGGGTGCGGCCACTCGCAGCTCCCTGGAGAAGCTTGGTCTGCACGTCATCCGAAAGGAGTACCAGATCTGAGTTACCTGCCTGCCTGTCGGAAGCAGAGTCGTGTAGCGATGGCGTTTTCCCTTGGTTGTGTAGTTGTACTTGGTTGTGCCTGCCCGTGGATGCGATGGGGCCTTAAAGCAGTGGTCAAATGAGTGTGAAAAGCCTTCTTTCATTTGCAGGCCTGAATGTCAACGGCCTGGGGGACGGGAATAAGCAACAGCGAACAAAAAACTGGTTGAAGCAGGCAGCAGACATCGTTATACTGTCTGACTCTAGGCTCTCCGATGATCACCCTTACTGGAATTCACTTCGACAGCCGCAGATCCTGGTCGCATCACCTACTGCTAAGGCTGGCGGTGTTGCTCTGATCTGTCGGAGGCACGGACTGTCATTGCACAACATTCTCATTCATCCATCCGGCCGGCTGGTAGCGGCTGAACTTCACCTTGACGCTTTCCACATCACCTTGGTTGCAGTTTATTTCCCGGCTGATGCTGCTGAGCGAAAGGTGTTCATTCGCAGTGTGTTGGGTCCGGCGGTTGACGGGGTGCAGCCGGGCTCTCACCTGCTCATCATGGGGGATTTCAACTTAGTGGAGGATCCGTTGCTAGATCGGACTTCGAGGAAGGGAACCACGAAGGAGAACGAGGATCTGTACCGTCGTTGCGATACCTTCCGCCTCTCAGATGCTTTTAGAGTGCTACATCCATATAAGCGGGAATTTACCTTCTACTCCTGCGCCAATCAAACCAGTTCGCGTATAGACAGGGCACTTATCTCTCAATCGTTGCTGGCGCACGTCGAGTTCGTCTCGCACATCATGCCGGCGGACCCTATCTCCGACCACAGTTTCGCAGTGAAGGCGGCTTTCAGAATGAACACGCGGGTGCAGTTGGGCCCTGGGCTCTGGAGGCTACCCACATACATGTTGGACAGACCGGGAGTCAGGAAGGTGATTGAAGCCGTGGCACGGCAGGCAGACTCATGTGGGGTGTGTTTTGAGATTCTAATCTCCCGCCTCAACACTGCTCTACGGGTGTACGCGAAAGAGGAGCGGAAAAGAGTTCGGGCCACGATGACCCACCTTTATCAGTCGGTTGCGGGGCTGAAGCAGGCGTGGATGGGTGACCCGGGGTGTGCTCGACTTAAAAGCTTGCTGGCTGAAAAAGAGGCGCAGCTGAAGGGGTATCAGCTGGCTCGACAGGAGAGGTTACATGTAATGGCACGAATGAAGGAGAAAGTCTTGGGTGAAGTGGCCTCACCGCACCTGTCGGCAAAAATCAAGGCCAGAAAGGGACGGACACAGATTACAGAGTTAAACGCAGGTGGGATGTGAGAAGGATTTGACGAAAAGAATGATGAACTAGAAAATGAGATGGGTACATATAGGAAACACATAAGTGTTGTACCCACTAAGAGCTACCCCACTACAGCCTAAATAGACCATAGCAGATATAAGTTTGACACACCCCCATAGGCAAAGTGGGGGAGAACAAGAGGTCACAAGACCAGTCAAGAAAAGCAAAGCAAGCTCAGGGTGGATCACAAAGTCACCACACAGTCTGAGCACAAGCAAAGGGCCATAAGGCCAGTTCACATGCAGAGTTATATAAAGGAAAGTAAACAGTACAGTGAACACAACCTAGCAAGTGTAAGCATGCAGGTATAAGTATATAGAGTACAGTACAAGCAGCGTCAAGAAGTCAACAAGTGAGGCACAGTAGGTACAAGGCCTAACACAGTACAGAAACGCTGATGATCACAAGGCTGAAGTGCCTTGGTGAAGACATCAGCAGTTTTGGCCTGAGAGGCCACGTAAGCAAGACGAAGCTGGCCACGCTGCTGCAACTCTCGAGCAAGGAAGTAGCGCAGAGCAATGTGCTTCGTTCTGTGCTCCAGTCTGTGCTCCTGACACAAGGCCAGCATGGCCTTGTTGTCGACGTACAGAACTGGAGGAGAACGAGGCGCCTCTCCCAAGTCGGTCAGCAGGTAGGTGAGCCAGCGAAGCTCCTGTGCAGCCATGGCCCCAGCGTAGATCTCAGCCTCACAACTGGAGCTGAGAACAGAAGAAGAGCGGGTAGACCGCCAGGAGACAGAACCGGAGCCAAGGCTGAAGGTGTAACCCTGTGACGACCGCTGCGTAGCCAAGTCGTCAACCCAGGAGGCGTCAGCGTGACCAGTGAGGACAACTCGAGCCCGTCCTCCAAGCACGAGCCCCATGCCCGATGTACTGCACAAGTATCGCAACACCCTCTTCACAGCATCCCAGTGCACCTTTCGGTGCCTGCCGGGAGCCACGTAACGAGCCAGAAGGCTGAGAGGGTATGCGAGGTCAGGTCGTGTGCAAGTCATCAGGTACATGAGGCAGCCCACAAGCTCTGGATACGGGCCACTCGGCTCTACGGACTCGTCCGAAGGTGGAGCTGAGAGCGAGTGACCGGTAGGCAGAGGAGTGGACTGTGGCGAGGAGTAGGTGAAGCCGAAGCGCTGAAGGACTTGCTGCACCATGTGTGACTGAGTCAAGGTAATGGTGCGCTGTGCTCTGTCCCGGGTGATCCGCAAGCCAAGATAGCTTGTGAGCTCACCCAGGTCTGTGCACGTGTGTCTCTTCTGCAGCTCGGACTTCACGTGGGCGAGTGCCTCCGTGTCAGCAGTAGCAAAGACAAGGTCGTCTACGTACACAAGAACGTAGAACGGGGGCAGAGTAGCGTCAGTGCGTAGAAACAGAGAAGGGTCAGCAGTGGAAGGAGCAAAACCAAGAGCAACAAGAGTCGTCCTGAGCGTGTCGTGCCACTCACGTGGCGCCTGGCGGAGACCGTAGACTGGCCGCCGGAGGCTCCACTGGGTACCAGCAGGAAACGACCCAGTGAAGCCAGGTGGGCGGCGCAGCCAGATCTCCTCGTGCAGGCTGCCCTGTAGGAAGGCTGTGCTAAAGTCAAGCGAGTGGAGCTCGTAGTCACGCTGAGCAGCAACATGCAGCAGTACCCGAAGAGTGGTCATCTTCGGGGTAGGGGAGAAGGTCTGAAAGAAGTCAACTCCCTGTCGCTGACTGAAGCCACGTGCAACGTAACGCGCCTTGAAGGCAGGCGGAGAACCCGGCGGCTGCTTCACCCTGAAGATCCACATGCCACTGACGATGTTCGCCCCAGGTGGGGGAACCTCGTCTACGTAGGTGCCTGTGGACTTCCAGGAAGCCATCTCGGCGTCCATGGCTGCCTGCCACTGAGAGGAGTAGGGACCCTCTATCGCCTCTGCGTAAGAGCGCGGGGTCGGGATGTCTGGTGCATCCGGGTCTCCCTCAGGGGCAAGCAGCATGGACACGAGATGAGGTACAGCAGCGGCAAAGCACTCAAACTCCTCCTGTCTGTCCTCAAGAACGTCCGTGCCAAGAGCACACTCACCCCCGACGGACGGAGGACAGACAGACGCAGACACAGACTCAGCAACAAGACTAGTGGCGTAGTCGAGGCGACAGGCTGCAGCAAAGTCAACAAGCTCAGCAACAAGAGCAGACGCAGCAGAGGACTCAAACAGAGGGTCAGTTACAGCAGTGGCCAGAAAGCGCGTGACAGTAGGACTAGCGGCACGAAGGGAGTCAGACTCCGGGTCCGGACAGAACGGACAGGCGACGTAGAACGAGACGCAGGCGACACAGGACGCGACTCAGGCTCACGACGCTCCGTAAGACCTCTAGTCGGACAAGAGTAAGGAGAAGGACCAGGCAGCGGAGAGGCCGGCTGTAACTGCGACTGAGACGGGACAGGCGGTGGACTCAGGGAAGGAGGAGGAGGACCAGGAGAAGGCGGGGAGCCAAGAACCTGCTGAAGGAGCGGAACGTAGTACGACCGCTGCCGCGCAGCGCCTCGAGAAACAGCAGAGACAGAACCGGTACCCTCAGCCTCAGGGTCTCCAGTCCTAGCAGCACCTCCAGCAGCTCCAGCACCAGCAGCACCTCCTGTAGCCCCAGCACTAGCACCACCTCCAGCAGCACCAGCACCTCCAGCAGCTCCAGCAGCTCCAGCACCAGCACCACCTCCAGCAGTGCCAGCACCTCCAGTAGCTCCAGTAGCACCTCCAGCACCAGCAGCACCTCCAGCAGCTCCAGCACCAGCAGCACCTCCAGCAGCTCCAGCACCAGCACCACCTCCAGCAGCGCCAGCACCTCCAGCAGCACCCCGACAGCGCCGAGAGTACCACTCACGAAGCCGCTGTGGAGAGAGGGGCTCCCGCCGCGACGGGACACCCAGAGCACCTCCAGACTCAACACGCGCAGGCTCAGCACCTCCAGAGACAGTACCCTCAGGCGCCACACCCCCAGGCTCAGCACGCCCAGTCTCAGCACCCCCAGACTTGTTGGTGCAACCCTACGGTTTGCACTCGGCTTGTTGTCCGTGTGCGTGAATGTGTGTGTGTATGGAATGGTATGAGGGCATGGGATAATATATCTTTCATGCTTATAATTGTGTGTGAATGTTGAGTCATGATGTCGAGTGTGTGTGTCGAGTCAATAGCGAGTTATCGCTAGACGCGTGTTACGCGGTCGTTTGTGTCTCGCGCGCGGTTTCTATTTTGTCGTGCGCGGTTTCTATTTTGTCCTGTGTCGAACGTTCGGCGTGTCGCAGGTGTGTGCAGCAGACCCATCAAGAACTCAAGGATGAGTTTGTGATGAAGAGCCCGAGCCTTGGTGTCAAGCCTCAAGTGATTTCGAAGCTTGCCAAAAGGCAAGATATTGAAGATAGTTACATTACTTTGTGTAGTGTAACATTTCACTTGGTGTAGGCCCTAGTGAAGGGTAGTTTCGAGACCCTTCGTGGTTGGGGACAGTGTGGCACTATTCCACATCACTGTACCTCGGCTCTTGGGGTTTGTAGGAGCTGGGAGTCATTCCCAACTCGTAACTCTTCCTATCTTGTGTTCTAAGACTATAGTGGCTGCCATAGTACCGTTCGTTCAAACCGACGCCGTGTCGTCAATTCTTTATCAAATCGTGCAATCTAAATTGCTAATTGTAGACGACGTAAAGACGCTCC